GCCAACAGCGAGGCGTATAAGCGACTGCCTTTTGGGATGGAAAAAAGCGATGGACGATGCTATGCGGGTCGTTGTAACGGCATGCATTCCTCACCCCCATTCCCATTCTCCTTCTCCCTTCGCCCCCCTTCACCGACAGAGAAGCGCAAAAGGCTGGCAAGCACGATGAGAAGTTCATCAGCTCTGGTACCTGGTCCGTCAGTCGTCATCCAAAGTGAGTGGACATAGCAATCGTTGGGACCCCCATTGCGCATCCGCGCCTCTTTGAGAAAACTAATGTCTCTCTCTCTCTCTCCCCCTTTGCTCCCCTCCTCGCTGCACCGTGCAGCTACGCTGGCGAAGTGACGCTCTGGTCTGCCCAATTCCTCCTCTCTGTCCGAGCACTCTCTTCCAACTCCTCTGTGGGCATCCTGGGCCCTGCACCCGTGCTGCTCGGTCTAGCAGCTCTAGGACCGCTGTTCGAGTACTCGCTTATCCGCTTCGCAAGCGGCGTACCCTTGCTTGAAAAGGGCATGGACAAGAAGCTGGGAGATGAGTGAGTGGGCTGGGTTGCAGGTGCAGGTGCAGGTGCAGGTGCATGGAAGGATTGATTGGTGTGGCGTTGGTGGCTGTGCATGTGCATGTGCATGTGCATGTGCATGTGCGAGGGCGAGGGCGAGGGCGAGGGCGAGGGCGAGACCAGAAATGCTAAGTTGGCTTCTTCTTCTTCTTCTTCTTCTTCTTCGCCCCTCTCTGCTTCGGCAACAGTCCCAAGTACAAAAAGTACAAGGAGACGGTACCCTGCTTTTGGCCAATCGTTGGATCTACAAAGTAAAAGCTGGGCGTGGAGATGCAGACGCAACCAGCAATGCAGAGGCTGATCAGGAACTTCCGTGCAACGCTTCAGCACTACCATTGTTCTTTCTGTAAAGCTTTCAGGCAGGCGAGGGCGGCACAAGGAGAACAACAATGCTAGCTCTGTAAGATGCAAAAGGTGCGCGCTAGAATACAATGGGAGTGATAGGACGAGCGAGTCAAAGTGGGGCGGTGGAAAAGAGGTGGATTCTTTGCTTTGCTTTGCTGGGTGGGCGCACGCAGAAAGTCGGAAGCTTGTGATCGGCGATGGGAGAGAAGATGGGATGCTGCGCATGGCACGTTCACCGTAGGTTCTTGTTTTGCGGAGCAAGTTTGAACATTGACAAGTCAGGAGCGGTGCGAGAAGGGGGGGAGAAGGTAAAGCTTGGAGCATGCCGAGGCCGAATAGACTTTCGGCGGCATGGCATGTAAGGACCCCCGCTCTCTGCGCTTCATGGTCCGTGTGATTGCGCTAAGCCGCTCCCCCTTCGCCGTCGTTTTTGCCGCTGCTCGCTGCTGCCGCGTTGGCAATTGTGGCGGTAAGGGCAAGCAAGCGTTGCCTCGAAAGCGGACTTTTGAAAAAGTCAGTCCGATGGCGGAACGCAAAAGGCCAGGGCGGGCGGGTTTGTCTATCATGCAGTGCCCGTCACGCCCCGCCCGCATTTGATGCTTCGTCCGACGCTGCCTGCCTGCCTTTTGCGCAGGGTCGTTCCATTGTGCAAAGCGTGGATCATGTCGTGAGCGGCAAAATGGTAAATCGCAGCTCGGAGGAGAAATGAGGGCGCGAGAGTGGGCGAGTGGGCGAGTGGCGAACGGTGAACGGTGAACGGTGAACGGTGAACGGTGCAGAGGTGGGGCTGGAGCCGCGGGGCCGGGGCGGCGTTTAGCACGGAAGCAATGTTACGATTTCAAATGCCTTTCTTTGGCTTTTCAGAACGGTATGTGCTTTTGTACCGCCAACGCCACCGCCACCGCCACCGCAAGTCCTTGCCCATTGCGCAGAGCGCGAACGCTTCAAGAGGCCTCGCGAGCTGGGAAAAAGGAACAAGACGGCGCACCGCTTTGCGCTTCATCTCGCTGATCTGAAGGCGCTCGTTGCGGCACTACGCCGCCTCGGCGTTGGCCAATACACCGTCGTGGGCAGGGCAATCAATGTTGGCGTAAAGAGTTGCGGGTGCGGAGTCGTGTGGAGTCTCTTCGACACGCACTGTCGGAAGTGCTGCGTTACTGGCACGCTGAGCATGATGCTACATCGGGTCATTGGTGGTCATTGGGTGATCTGCGAGTAGGATGCTCCGGGGAGGGTGCGCACAACGCCCTACATTCTACACCGCTTGCACCTCTACCCCTCGACCACATCTCTCTTTGCAACCAGTCCTGCTGTTGGACTCCACACCCCCGCATTCCTAAGCTTTCTTGTGACCGTCTCGAATATCTTGATCTTTCGAAGCGTGCGTGATACGCGGTGAGTCATCGATGCGGACGTGTGCTCCATAGCCAAGCGAGGCGAGCTGACTGAGCAACGAGCCCCGCCCAGCTCCGCCTCCGTAGATCTGACTCGTTTACGCAACACGAAGAACAAATAGCGATGATACGGCTTATCAAGATATTTGCGCTCGTTGGTGTGGTGCTGGGCATCACCGCGAATGCGCAAGGGCAACACCTGGCGCAAGCTCGACGATCAAGCGCCCAACGATTCTCATCCGAGCTTCGCACACGTCCCTCTCTCGCCCTGCCGGTAGCTGCTAGAGGCACCTCCTTGAAGCCTCAAAAGCAGCAGCAGCAAAAGCAACTTCAACGACGCTTTCTAGGCAAGCTTTTTTCTTGCTTTACAGGAGGAGCCTGCAGAAAGACGGTCAAAAGTCCGGAACATTCTCATAGGTGGTACGAAGAGCAGACGATTCCGGACATGACGCCTCACGATGATCACTCCATGGTCGGCATGACGCCAGTCATGTTTAGGAACAAGATTAGGTATCCCACTAGCCTTAGACCGACGGTCAGAGACTAAATAATGAAAGAGACAATAAAAACGTGGGCGCATCTCGAGAGCGCATCGTCGGGCTCGGAGTGGGAGCGCCTCATCTCCATTTCCACGCTGTTTAGCTCCGACAGCAGAGACGACCAGAGATCATCATCACGATGCCGCCTCCCCTCGTTTCAGCCAGCTCTGATTGGCCCTCAAAATCCCTCTTCAACCCTAAGTCCGCAAAAGGATCTAGCCGGTAAAGTGCGATGGCACGTAATCGCGAAGCTTCGACCGTCTGTCCGTCATCGAGAAATCACAAAGCGAAGCCTCGAAGCTTGCAATGCAGTCGTGGCTCACATGAACAATTCACACTGCGAAGATTTTGCTCAGCGCGAATGCGCCCTTGCGACTGACATTGGCGAAACCCGTCAACAAGCTGCCAGTCTGTTTTTTTTTTCCATCTCATCGAACGAGGCTTTATGGTGACTGCAATTGGCACTCGTTACGGTGACAGTGCGTGACAGCAAAGGTGTGCTTATGTCTGCCCAAGCATGATGCTCGATTAGAAGTGAAGCAAGGGTCCGGAACAATTAGTAACAGTAAATGCTGCGGTTGCTCTTCTGAACATGAGCTGGCGAATTGCGGAGAAAGTTGCTGTCTTGCTATCTCATCTCATCTGCCTGGTCTGGCCTCCAAGCCTCGCTAGTCGTTCCTGACTGACGTCTTGAAAGTAATCGAATCCTACTTTGTTCTGTTCCTGATCAAGCACCGCTGCTCTCGAACCCCTGCACTTCGCACTGTTGAATCTCGAGTTGCGGTGTGAGCATCGCCTGATCACACCCGCATCGCGCTGTCATTCTGTCATGAAAAGGTGCGGCGTGACTGTGTTGCGTCAAGCAAGGACCAACGATCACTAGCCACGCAGCACTAGCCACGCAGCACTAGCCACGCAGCACTAGCCACGCAGCACTAGCCACGCAGCAGAATGGAGAGGCCAAAAATTCTCCAGCGAGCCTCGCCCGCGCCAGATTTCCCACGCTACAAACACCACCCATCCGTCGGGGAACGCTGCGTGAGCGGGAGAACCCACCGCTGCTGCAGCAGCAGCAGCAGGTCCACTTGCATCTGTCGACTCTTGACTTGGTTCTGATTCGATTCGCTTTTACGTATTTTTGATTTCTTGGCGATTGCCATGGAGACGAATGGCGGCGCGCCAGCTTGAGCACATCCGCCAGCGCACGTGACAAACAACGTTCGATCGTGCTCTGCTGCACCCGCATTCAGCCGCGCAGCAACAAGAACATGACAATGACAATACTTGATGCGAGATCCAGATCCAGATCCCGACGGGGCATTATGATCGTGTGTGTGAGGCCTTTTTGCGCCATGCCCCCATCTATGCCTCCACGACGTATCTACGGCTGGCAATTGCATGTAAACGCTGCGCTCCATCTCAAGTGGAGCGAACGGCTGTGCAGCTGCTCGTGACCATACCAATCACGAATGTGTGAGCGTGTATGATCGATCTATCCCCCCGGTCTCGCCGCGGTCTCGGTCGGGCTCTTTGAATGCCTATGAGATCGCAAAGACTTGCCGCTCGCCC